TATAAGATAGCACAGCGGAAGGCTTCAATACCAATGATCCGAAAAATCAGTGTTGCAATGCAGACCTTTTTTTTTTTTTTTTTTTTTTTTTTAAACATGCCCCTGGTGATAGTGGTGGTGATAAGAGCAGCCACCACTACCATGCGGGGAGGGGCTCCATCTGTTGGTGCTGGAAAATGGGTCCAGCGTCCCATGTACAATGTTTGATCAGAAAAATCACACTGGGAGAACCCTTGCCAGCATTGATTACCCTGGACGCCAGGGGATTGACTGAGCAAGGTATCTTGAGAAACTAAAAAAGCTGGAAGACCAGACATACATCATCATCATTCCATGGTGTGAAGGGGCCTGGCGCTCACACAGGAAGAAGGCGCCAGTCCCCAACCATACACAGACAAAGAAGAGGGGAAGATGGGAATGCCGTCAACACCAAGTCTTCGGTACAGGTCCCAAATAATCCCTCGTCAAATGTCTGAATCTCAATGTCGAGTCTGGATCCAAATGCCGTCAAGTCCCAAAGTCACCGACCTCGTTCTCTCTCATAGTGTGCAGATACTGAGAAGTCAGGTAGCGAGAGGGTGAGAAGGAGATGGTGGACTTACAAGAGGAAGAAGAAGAACTCTCTCTCTCTCTCAGAGTCCGGTACTAACCTGTGAAGGTGGCGCCTTGTTGCAGGTACATCAAAGACGAAGCTGGAGCTATGGCGCCACAGGTAAGTCTCCCTGGCCTCCGCCAACCATCTCTCTCTCTCCACTATTACTCTAGCTCCTAATAGCGCCCAGCGATGAAGACTACTGCTAATGCTACTACTACTATTGCAGACCCGATCTGGGCCGTAGATCTCTTTGATCTGATGGCCAAGACCGGGCCATTTTTTTTTTTTTTTTAGAGGCCCTACCGGCCTCACAAAAATCGCCCAAAATAAGCAAGGGTACTACGTACCCCAAACCGCACCCCCACAGGCCCAAAACCCTGATCGGACCCCAAAGCMGGTTTTTAACCAGCCCGGACAGTGGGCCYTGCCAGGACGACCGGGGGAGCTGTCCGATCAGACAACCCGGAACAGAAAGGGGTCCCGGAGGCTGGTAACCTAGCCTGTCATGCATTCAAGGGACTGAAGAGGAGAAGCGATATGGCGAAGCCTTGTCGCGCTACCGAAGCGCTGGAATAATGCACGATTACAGCGAAATTGCTGAGAACTTCAAAACTATATCGACGAATTTTTACACTTGTAAGTCGAGCGATTGAACAGACAGATATCGACCGAATAATCAACCAGATAATCAGCCCGATAATAACAAGTCAATCAATAAGATCATCAACAGGATGATTAACACGATAATCAGCGAAAAATCAATGAAAAATCAACAAGAATCAACAAGAATCAATCAAGAATTTCAACAAACAATATGATAAGCACGATTTCACACTCATGACTTTTCCATCAAATGAAAGAGAATCAACGGGGGGAGATCGGCGCCCTAGGCTCGTTCCCAAGCCACGGCAAGGTCGAATCTAGGGTTCTAGACCATCAGAAAAACAATGAAAATCTTAAATGAAGAAGATGACATGAGTTTTACTTATCATGGCGAAATCAACTTCTCCACCACACCACCCTGATCTCACACCGCCAGGGTTCTCAACCCTTCTACTCATCCGCCACTCAGATTGAGGTAAGAAGCTACTGCAATAGCTCCTATTTATACCTAGTAAATCCTTTTCTTCTAGCCCCCTACGAGTTCCAAAACAATTTTCCAATTTAATTTTAAATAATATTACTCCTGGCCTGGTCCAGCCTCTTACTGCGTTACTGTGCGGCAGGCCCCTGGACCTTTTGTTGCCTGGTATGAATTATGCTTTTTTCCAAGCCAGGTACTGATGCACTAAGCCTTGAAAAATAGGCCTGGTTTTCACGGTCCTGGTCGTTCACACGATTGTTCCCGAAACTTTTTTTCCGACTCGGCGCATCCGAATCCAATATGCCGAAGCAGTCCCTGTGGCTTTTTTACTTCAGGCAGCGCGAAGCGCACCATTTCCTTTTGCCTGCACCTGGTCACGAACGTAGGACATAATGAAAGTGGCAAAATCTCACCCTGTATTCGTCAACACCTTGAAAATCTTGCTGCTTTGTCCTTCTTGACTACCGGAYTACAGACTTACCCCTATGCRACTCCGAACTCGTCGTCTTCAGGTAGAGAACTCAGCTCACAGCACTGTCTGTGAGTCAGAACACACATCACACACATCACACACACACAAACACACACACACATACACACACACACACACACACATACACACACACACACACAATCAATCAATCAATCAATCAATCAATCAATCAATCAAACCCTTTTTTGTTTATTTGTGTTCATTTTTTTCATCTTCATTTTTTTAAACACCTCATTTCCCTGCAAAAACAGAAATTCATTTCTAAAGAAAATACAGGTCAACTCAGGGTCCCYAGGGACCATATATCTCATGATAAAAAATGACAAAAAAAAAACAACCTGTTTTTCTTTRTATATATTTTTTCTAATTTTGTTCAAATCGAATTWAGTTTTTGATTTTWWAAAAATCTCAAACAAAGTCGGATTCCAAGCCCTACACCCCCATATTTTTTTATTTWTTTTTTACATATTTTTAARGGTAATTTTTTTTTKTTGAAAAAACAGGYCGTGGATTGGGCCTCATCGGCCACGGCCGCGACCGAGATTCACGGCCGCAGCGGCCGAAATGCCCGCGGCCTAGGCCGCGGGTGTCACATAGGTCGTGGTATTAGATGTGAATAAGTACAATGTTCTTTTAGGATTACCGACCCTTACCGCACTGAGAGCCAACCTCGATTTCGAAAGACGGTCAATCATTCTCCAGAATACGAGCGGGAAACCGTACGTCATCCCGATGCGTCCAACTCTCTGAACTACGCTCCCTGTGACTCGGAAAACTCTCCTTGGGAATGGAGGACCACTCCATGTAATCACCTGGAGGAGACCCATCGAAGAAACAGACCAATTTGAAAGGGGAAAGGAACCAAAACTATCAAATAACTCTTCCGACAGTGAGGACAAAGCGAACCTAGAAATCTAGGAAATGACGCGTCAACCGATTCGCTACCCAGTTCGACAGAAAATGACGAGAACATTCGTCCTTACGGAAAGGAACCTCCAACGGACATGGCTCTAATCCTAGGAGAACCTCTAGTACAAGTGTCTCAAATGACTGATTCTTTGGAGCCCCCTCGGACCCCATATGAAGCCACCACCCCACTTCTCTCGAGATGCAGTGACAAGAAAGCATTCTGCGACATTACGGGATTACCTCGTTCCCTGCTCTCGACAGGAAAAGTGGTCTGATTGCTGAGACAGGGTGCCGAGGACGGAGCTTTGGAACCCCCTGGGCATGGCAACTCCTACGAACTCGGGATCAAGATCACCATGAAACCCGT